CAATCCAGCGCGCGCACACTCGCGCACGTGCACACACACACACACACACACACACACACACACACACACACATATTTTAAATATCTCTTATGCTAAAACTTGTATATTGTGTAGCTTGTAGTAGAAACCCTGGGAATATTTATAGAATGACTCAAAAAATAAAGTTAGAAGTTAGCACATTATATTGTGTTCCCCAAAGACAGAGACAATTTATCATTTTCTCAACAGTATGAGAATATGGTTAATGTTTACTAAATTTAGCTGACTTGACTTTTCAAAAAAAATAGTATTGTTTCTAAGGCTTCATAGACTTATGGGAATTGGTCTAGACGACACAGATGATAATTCAGGGATGGAGCAAATAGGAATCAGCTTTTACTGCATAGTGCAAGGAAGAAAAAACAGGCCCCTGAGTAACTAAACACATGGGAGTGACAGAACAGGTTAACACCCCAACATGACAGCAAATTAGAATTGGAACGGAGTCAAGGTTAAAAGCTTTCTTGGGTTCATATTGTTCACCATTAAAAAAAAAAGAAAGAAACAGCTGAAAATCATACATTCCTCTGCAACGAAGTAAATACTACTACATATAAAATGCTTAATTTTTGAGTATCAAGCTCCTCCTTGGATATCATCTTTACTGTTGTTGTTGTTGTTGTTGTTGTTTTTCCTCTTCTTAAAATTCCCATCCCGTTTCTTAGCCAGTTTCCATCCATTCTTGCAATTTAGTCTGGGTTGTTTTCGAGGGAACATTTCATGATCCCCCGTTGGAGGAAAACTCTCCCAGGGTGCACTTCTTCTCCACCTCACTTCATCTTCTCTTTCTCTTGACATGTGACATGCTTCTCAGCCCTGCAGCTCCCTTTAAATCTGTGCAACTTGAGTGTGCTCATTATGCACACTAATCTCTGTTTCCAGCAGCTGGTACAGATTGACCCGGGGATATTCATAAGTTCTATTTTTTTTATTTCTTAATTAAAATACTAGATTTGGATAGCACAGCGGTAGGGTGTTTGCCTTGCACGCAGCCAACATGGCCGACTTCAGTTCGATTCCTCCAGCCCTCTTGGAGAGCCCGGCAAGCTACCGAGAGTATCTCGCCCGCACGGCAGAGCCTGGCAAGCTACCCATGACGTATTCGATATGCCAAACACAGTAACAATAGTCACAATGAAGACGTTACTGAACCTGCTCGAGCAAATCAATGAACAGCGGGAGGACAGTGCCACAGTGCCACAATCCAGACACACAGAGATGAGACTACCCTTTGGTATATGTGAACAGTAGAAGGTCTGGAAGGGTGTGGAACTGTACCTTGGTTTCATTAATTTGGGGTTCCTCTTTCAGAAGTCAAAGAATTCTCAGCTTTTGATTGCAAATGGCCCCTAGCTGACTCCGAAACATGAATTCATTTTCCTAGGACTGGCCTGGAAACTTCTCTTGTGAAGAGAGTTAAGTGTATGTCACCCTTTGACATCATGATCTTGACAGCAGAGATAGAAAAAACAGAGAGAATTTTATTTTCTTTTGACCAGCAATAGAAATAGTTGCTTGAACATACTTTTTTTTTTCTATACTGCAAATTCTTTGTTGCCTCTGAAAGCTGAGGAAAGTATACTTTGAGAATTGGGCTTTAGATTGCTATATAGGGTCATATTAATGATAGAAGAACATTGCTCGGGCATTGTCCCCCCTTTGCTCATCAATTTGCTTGAGTGGGCACCAGTAACGTCTCCATTGTGAGTCTTCTTGTTACTGTTTTTGTCATATTGAATACTTCAAGGGTAGCTTGCCAGGCTTTGCTTGCAGGCAGGATACTCTTGGTAGCTTGCCAGGTTCTTCGAGAGGGGCGGAGAATTGAACATGGGTCGACTGCGTGCAAGGCAAACACCCTACCCATTGTGCTATTGCTCCAGCCCGATGGAAGAACATATATTTGGGGGAAAAATTTTAACTTATTGAGCAAGAGGACTTCCCAGAGGACTTCCCTTAAAAAAGGAAAAAATATTAGAAGTTTTCACTCTCTAACTTTCAGTTCAGAGTCTTTGTTCCATTTTACCACTTGTTTTCTGGTGCTCCAAAGATGTAGTTTGGAATTCTCAGCTTTTTTCATGGAAGCTTAAAGTTCCACCCTATTCTTTAATTACCTTTGTTATGTGATTGACAGACCATTTTATGCTATTGTTAATTCTATGATTATAAATGAGGCATTTAGGCTTATCTTGAATTTTCTAGGAATAACATATAATTCAGGTATAAAAAAAAGACTTGGCGACAGGGTGGAGTGAAGAATGATAAATGAAGTTGTCAGATACAGCCACATGATCAGATAAGGGTGATTCACCCCCATTTTGTGTCATGTCTGGATTTATGTCTAGATAAAATGAGTCATTTTATTAGATCATTTTTTTAATCAAATCATTCTGAATAGACAATGTGGAAGATGAGAACGGAGCCAAACATTCAAAAGAATGGGACGACCTGCTGAGAAAGATTAAACCATAGACAGTTTCAAGAATGTAGAGGACTGAACAGAATATTGGTAGATGATGTGAATAGAATGGAAGGATTCAGTCTGGACAAGTGTTGGTGATCTAACTGAATTTTAACCTCATCTCTGTGTAATTGGTGGAGTATGGAAAGAATGAATCATTTCACTGGAGAAGTGTAGTGTGGGGCAGGTGGTGTCTTTGGGGCAAGGGAAAGGTTTCAGTTAAGGATATAAAGAATGTGTTCAATGAGAAGATTGTCACTATGGAGCAGAGCCTAAAAACTCAATGTCAATATATTTCAAAGCTTTTGCTATGCTGCCAACTATTACATATTATTATATAGCCTTTCTTTGTGGTTGACTTATTTATTGAAGAAATATTTGTTAACTACTTATTTTGTGCTAATGGTGTCATGTACAAAAGTGTACAAGTCCACAAAAGTGGTAAATCCATAAGTGCGTGTAGTTTGGACAGAATGTGGAGTTGTCATGTTAGGACTATATTAAAATTTGGTGAAGCATTTGGATATATGTGATAGGGCTTTATAGGGCAGTTTTGGAGCCTAATCTGTTTAATTAAATTTATAAAAGGATTTATCCACATAGCAATCTATTCCATAAATGTCAAAAACTTCCTGTCATAATGCCCATTTCAATAGTTTATAGAAGTGACAAACGAATTCCTAACTTCCAAGTCCCAATTTGAAATATAGGAGGATATGTATATGTTTGCCATATGTCAGTAGTTTTCACTTATTTGGTGTATTTTTATCATGTGTGTTAGCACTGTATTACATGATAGATTGTATAGCAGAAAACAAGATAGATGGCTTTTGATCTCATGGAGTTTATATTTTCTAAAAATAGTCTGTATGAGAACTTACTCTATATCTGGTGCTACACTGAATACATATAGATAAACTTATCCCCTGTAACCCTCTATAGCCACACTAGCTACAGGATAATATCCTGTTTCTGAACGATTTACCTGTAAATAAATCAAAACTTACTTGTGTTGGTATTAGCTGAGACTCAGTTCCCTGAAGCCTGGTATGAAGTGGATTCGTGTCTCTTTTCTGCCTTCCAATATAACACTAGATGCCTTTGTGTTAGGAAGACTTTGGAATTATGTGGTAACTGGGAACAGAAAGGAAATGATGCTTATTTTTTTTGGAGAGAGCAGATATACTTGATTACAGAATTAACAGTAAAATTTCCACTAGAAAGACGAATAGAGGGAAAAAAGTTTTTGCACATTACAAGTTGCAAATAGTCAACAAAGAAATAACATTTTGTTTCAGTTGCAGAAAATAATAAAATTAGAGCCAGAGAGAGTACAAGATAATTATGATGCTTTCCTTATATTCTGCCTACCCAGGTTCAATCCTTGACCCTGCATCTGGTCCCCTAAGCACCACCAGGAGTGATCCCTGAGCACAAAGATAGGAGTTAGCCCTGAGCACTGCAGGATGTGACCCCAAAACTCAAAAAGTAATAATTATAATTTGATACCATTGTCACCTGAAAGTAAATGTCTTTTTTCTGACTAAAGTCATAAAGGTACAAAGCATACTATTTATTTTTATAATACATGAATATTTAATTGATTAATTTTGTATTTTAAAGTAAGTGCAAACTTTCAGATTTTCTAAATTGTAAGTCATCAACCTATGCATACTCAGTAGTAGTCAGAAGGAGAGGGACAGACAGAATGATTGAATTCATTTGTGGGATATTAAAAAAATCACTGTATCACTGTCATCCCGTTGTTCGTCGATTTACTTGAGCGGGCACCAGTAACGTCTCTATTACTCTCAGCCCTGAGATTTTAGCAGCCTCTTCTTACTCGTCTTTTCCCAATGATTGGAGGCTCCTTCAGGGTCAGGGGAATGAGGCTGTTGTCGTTACTGGTTTTGGCATATTGAGTACGCCATGGGGAGCTTGCCAGGCCCTGCCCGTGTGAGCGGGATACTCTTGGTAGCTTGCCGGGCTATCTGAGAGGCATATAATTAAAAAAAAAAACAAACTTGAGACTAATACCCAAGGACAGTATTAGGAGAAGAAACAAGGGCCAGGAGGAGTGGTCCACGATTGGAAGCCTGCCTAAAGTGCTAGGGAAGAAGGCAGTTGGGATAGAGAAAGACCACTATGACAAAGATAGTTGGAAATGATCATTCTAGATAAGACCTATATGCTGAAAATAGGAAAAGGAATAAACTTGATAACCTCTCAGTATCTGCATTGCAAACCATAATGCCTAAGAGGAGAGAGAGAGAGAGAGAGAGAGAGAGAGAGAGAGAGAGAGAGCGAGCACCTGCTATAGAGGCAGGCTGGGGGATGGGGTGCGGAAAGGAAACTGGGGACCTTTGTGGTGGGAAATGTACACTGGTGGAGGGATGGGTGTTGGAACATTGTGCAACTGAAACTCAACCATGAACAGCTCTGTAACTGTATTTCACGGTGATGATAAAAATAATACTCAGTGGTATTGTTTATTTCTTTGCAGATTTTATACCTGCCTACAAAATGCTTTGAAAAGAGAAGCCAGTAGTAGCTCACATATCAAAGTGAAAAGCAAAGAGAAAAATAACTCCTTATATACACATAAGAAAAAAAGGAAACCAGAAAAAGCATGTGACAAATGTATTGCTGAAGAAAATGAAAATGATCTTGAAAATGATGAGGATGATCCTGGACTCAGTGTTAAAATCTTCCCTGAAGATTACTAACATTTGATTCTCAAGAAGTGTCCTGGTATCCTGGTAGAATGTTTCTAATGAGTATTATAAAACTGCTCTTTATAAGAGTACTTTAGTTGTTGAATATATCAATCAGAAAAATGATATTTTCTCTATATTTTAGAGGAACTGTTCTTATTAATATAAATGACTTTTACAAAATAACTGTAAATGATACTTACCCATGAAAAGCCATTTCAGTCACATTCATTGTAAGAATAAAATTATGATTTTCAGGGACTTTTTTAAAATTCAGTTTCTCTATAAATCAGGAAATAATTGAATGCCAATTCAAGAGATTCTTAATATCAGGGATATTTGAGTAAATATAACATTTAACTATTAACTTTGGGATCATTAGTATATAATTTTAATGACAGGTTTCTTTTCTTATTACTTTATGGTAAAACAATTGATAGACCTTTTTTCTAAGACAACACCTAAACCCACTTTGCTCATTATTTCTTACAAACCAGAGTTTGCCATTGACATAGTGTCCATGAAACAGGTGGACACAACTTTTCACAAGAGGATATATATTTGCATTCCTTTTTTCATCCTACTCATCAATTACATTAGCCATAATCACTGAAACAATGACTTGCAGCTCTTGCCCTAATCTGTCTCCTAAGTGCTGGCTAGCTGTGCGGTCCCCTCTAGCAGAGACGTTATTTTCTGAATTTGTACCTTTTTAGACTTTGTCTTGAGTGCTAGGTCCTTAGCTGTCATCAAGATCGTTTGGATTTAAATGCATTGACATTTCTAGTTGCTGACTTTTCTAGTTTTCTGTCCAGGATATGTGAGGTTCAAAAACTGTTCCCTCTTGTTGCTTTAAGTCCCAAGATCCCTAGCTGGTCTAGCTTTTCTTCACCTTTCAGAGTCTTTGGATATTTATTTTATATATAATGTCAATAGTTTTTAGTTGTACTTAGTAAAGAAATAGGAAGAAGTATATCTCTTCTCAGAATCAGGGGTCTAATGTAGTTTTTCAGTTACTGATATCACATTATTGGGATACTGTTGAGGACATCTTTGAAGTCTATCCAAATGGCTATGGAACTCTTTTATCAATCCTCTCTCCACTAGCCTCCTCCGCCTCCTGCCCCAACACACACACACACACACACACACACACACACACACACACACTCTCTCTCTCTCTACTGTCTCATAGCCAATAATGACTAATAGTTTTTAGTTGTACTTAGTAAAGAAATAGGAAGAAGTATATCTCTTCTCAGAATCAGGGGTCTAATGTAGTTTTTCAGTTACTGATATCACATTATTGGGATACTGTTGAGGACATCTTTGAAGTCTATCCAAATGGCTATGGAACTCTTTTATCAATCCTCTCTCCACTAGCCTCCTCCGCCTCCTGCCCCAACACACACACACACACACACACACACACACACACACACACACACACTCTCTCTACTGTCTCATAGCCAATAATGACTAATACAGAACTTCGAAAGACAATTTCATTGCCCGGGAATTAGATAAACTTGGATGTGCAGTGCTGCTTAAGCTCTCGGCAGCAACAGGCCGAGGTTGTAACTTTATCTGAATCCTGTCATGTTTTTCCTATTCCTTACTCATATCTCCTGGGAGCACCTGCATAATAAATCACCTGTGCTAGTATATTGTCTTTTGCAAAAACCTGACCTAAGACAGGTTGAGATTGTTTGAGATGTATTTTTTTTTAAGTGGTGGCATTTAGAGAGTGATGTCTTAATGTGCTAGAAATTGTATCATGGTAGTGATTTATGATGTAAACATGAAGCAAATAAATTTAAGACGTCAGTACATCATAAAAGAACATTCTTTTATGGGGTATCTAATAATACATATTGTTAGAAGAACTTAGAGACCAATTCAAAGAATCCAAGACTAATCTAGGAAATAACCGTGTCCTCTAAGTCTTAAAGGACAGTAAAAATGTTTAATTGGCAGAAATATCCAAAGGAAGCTTTTAGAGACACAAGAAGAATGTAGTGTAATTGGAATACAAAGAGCATTATATATTCAGTAGTATCAAATACTGCAGAAAAACCAAAATGTATCATACACTATCAGTCAAACTGGTTGAAGCACAGTTGTGAAGATTAGACCAGTGCTTCTAAACATAGATGTTTAGAATACATCAGTATTACCTGGCCTAGGACAGGACTGAAGCGCTCCTATCATTTCTTTCTTTTTCTTGATAGTTGAAATGGGGAGTGTGAGCGGGGCTCCAGTAAAGTACTAGTGATGTTGCAGGTGGGGGGGGGGGGGGGGCACCTAGTGCTGAGGAACAAACTCCACTAACAGAGGTTGGTAAGCATGTCTCCCATCACTCTTACACTGTCTCCCCAGACCCAGGCAGTGAGGTGTGTTTTCAGAAACACTGACTCCTAGGCCCTACTCAAGACCTCTCAAACCAAATTCTTCAATGTGATCTAGAAATCTTAAAAAAAAAAAAAAAAAAATTGGTGCCTGGTATTGAACCCAGGATATATATGTGACAATCAGACATTCCACAACTGAGCTACATTTCCAGCCCCAAAAATATGAACTTTTTAGTTAGCAACTTCTTCAAGTGATTCTGATAAAAATCAATTTAATATGGTCAGATATATATATACACACACACACACACACACAAGGTTCTGTCCTAATAGAAAACCAACAGGACTGCACTACTGTACAAGAAGGGAGACATCCACGATATTGGCAACTATCACCCGATCTGCCTGTTCTCTGTTGTCTACAAGCTGTTCACTCGAGTCATCCTGAATAAGATTGGCAGAACACTAGATGAAGGACAGCCATGCGAGCAAGCCGGGTTCCTAAAAGGATTCAGCACCATCGACCAAATCCACACAATAATTAAGCTCATTGAGGTTTCTAAGGAGTTCAAGATACCGCTCTGTCTAACGTTCATTGATTTAAAGAAGGCCTTTGATTCTGTTGAGACTAAAGCAGTCATCGAAGCCCTAGCCAAACAGGGGGTTCAAACTCAATACATTAGGATCCTCCATGAGCTGTATTATGGATTCACTACCAGGATCTCACCATTCTACAAGGAAGTGATCATCCATGTCAAGAGAGGGTGCAGCAGGGTGATACCACTTGATCACTTGATCACTTGACTTCCCGTTAATCGTCGATTTGCTCGAGCGGGCGCCACTAACGTCTCCATTTGTCCCTGTCGCGTGCTAGTGTAGCCCAATGGCATCTGTTCGCTCTAGGAACACGAAGAGCCTCAAACCGATCGTTCATGATTTTGGTGAAGAAGTCTGACCATCTGGTAGGTGGGCGGCCACGCAGTCTTTTGACATCCCGTGGGATTCAGTCGGTAACAGCTCTAGTCTAGTGGTCGTCTTTAAATCTCATTACGTGACCAGCCCATCTGATTTTTGACACCTTGGCAAACGAGACAGCGTCCCTGATTCTTGATCATTGACGGAGGTCAGAACTCCAGATTCTGTCTCTCATTTGAGTGAAACATGATATTCTAAGCATAGCTCTTTCAATTCCTCTTTGGGAGACCCGGATAGTGTTCTCATCCTGTTTGCGTAGGGCCCAGGTCTCTGAGGCGTATGTTAATGTAGGAAGAATGCAGGGTGATCCCATTTCACCAAAACTTCATTGCCACCCTCAAGAACATCATGTGACAAAGGGAATGGGAAGGAATGGGAATGAAGATAGATGGCAGCTCTACTACCTCTGCTTCGCTGATGACATTGTTCTAATTACACCAAACATTAGCCAAGTGGCACAAATGCTGGCCGACTTCGACTGAGTGTGGAAAGGTCGGACTACAGCTGAATCTCACCAAGACAATGTTTATGAAAAATGATCTCATTCCTGAAGTTCCATTCACTCTCAATGGAACGAACATCTCCAAATGCAACAGTTACCTGTACCTAGGTCAAGAAGTCAACATGACGAATGACCTGGCACCCGAGTTACGCAGGAAGAAGAGAGCAGCTTGGAACGTTTTCAAGAGCATTGAAGAAATAGCTAAGAGGACGAAGAACCTCTAGCTCCAGGCACATCTTTTTGATTCCACTGTTCTTCCTGCATTAACATGCGCCTCAGAGACCTGGGCCCTATGAGAACAGGATGAGAACATTATTTGGGTCTCCCAAAGAGGAATCCAAAGATCTATGCTTGGAGAATCACACTTCACTCAAATGAGAGAAAGAATTCGGAGTTGTGACCTTCATCAACAATCAAGAATTAGGGACGCTGTCTCATTTGCCAAAGCATCCAAAATCCGAAGGGCTGGACACGTGATGAGATTTGGAGATGACTGCTGGACTAGAGCCATTACTAACTGGATTCCACGGGACATCAAAAGATAGTGTGGCTGTCCACCTACAAGATGGTCAGACTTCTTCGTCAGGACCCTGAACAATTGATTTGAGGCTTTTCGTGTTCCTAGAATGAGCCGACGCCATTGGGCTACACTAGCACGTGACAGGGACGAATGGAGATGCTACTAGCACCCACTCGAGCAATTGATTTAATAATGGGATGTCATGTGATCAAGTGTTCAAGATGTATAGGACAGGGTTGAAGGTTCTTTTCTTGCTAATGGTCTACCCTAGGTCAATCCCTGGCACCACATACTGACTGGTCCCTGAACACAGAATCACACATATGCCCTCAGTATTGTAAGGTTTGTTTACACTCACTCTCTCACACACTCTTTTTCTGTGTCTCTGTCTCTGTCCTCTTTCTAACACCACACACACACACACACACACACACACACAAAATCCAACATTTTGAGAAAATTCTCTAGTAAAAGTTTAAAACTGAAAGGTATGGAGACAATTGAAGATTTTTTTTTAAATGAAAATAACATGATCAGGTATTGTAATATACCCGTGTCATAGATTTTTAGATTATTAGCAGGATGAGAAGAAACTTCCAGTATAAGTTGTCACTGTCCTTACTCTTAGTTTTAGAGGATGGCAATATATGGAGAACAGCAGAATTGTAGGAGGGAGCATTCTCCATAGCTGACAATATGAGTGATATTACTTAAAGTTGGGCAGTGTACATTCTGAAATTATACAGTTGTTCTGCCAGAAGGGAAATTGATCAGGAAAGAAATCTAGTGTGAATGTCTAGAATATTTTTTCTAATGCTAGGATTGGGACTGGGCCTCCTCCACCTAGATTCCCCCCACCCCCATCTTCCAGTAGGCAGGGCTCACACCCAC